CTGGAACTCTGCAGAAGTGCATGGGTTAAATGAAACTCCGAGAAAAGTATATTTGATGGTCAATGTGCTGAGTACACAAGCTTCTGGCGAGATTCATTTGCTTGGTAATGAATTTCAGTCTTGCGCTTGGACCTGTTGAGCAGTTCTTCTTTTTGACAACGCACTCTGAGTCCTCAATGTCAGGAACCCGGACGACATTGCTCCTGTTGATCCTTCTGTGGTACAGAATGCCAATCTTCGGTGCGACGTGTGCGGAGTTTCATGCACGGAGGCTCTTTGGCATGAATATTCTTGCAAGGGCCATGACTGGAGTTCTTACGCTGTCACTTTGAGAGCAGGGTGGGATTTCTTCCGTAGGTGCTCTATGAGTTCCGCTGCTACCCGCGGCTGCGACCTGACGAGCCACGGCCTTTGGGTGGGAGGAGACTCCATCCCTTTGTGAGTGGGGCACTTAGCGTCTTCTTTGGAATTGCGTGTTACGCATTTCTTGGGTTTCCACAGGGTACGTTCGGATGATATTTTTTGCATGTGTGGAATGCGAAAGGATTCTTTGGGATATTTCTTTTGTGCAGAGCTCGGGCTTGGGGAATGCAGAAGTGCAGTTTCAGGCTACATCTCGAAGGAATGTGGCAGAGGACTTCTTGGTCCGGCCCTCTGTGAAATGGTGCTCAAGATGGCCGACTGGGCCTACCGCAGCTTTTCCTTCGATTGCCTGCCGCCTGCATCAGGGTGTGACCTTTGAACAAGCCTACGAAGTTTGACGTAGAACACTTCATTTGATTTGAACTTACACTTTGGTAGGTCAAGCCATGGCAGCGCTTGCAGCGATGCTTTGTTTATGGCTGCTTGGAGCCGCAGAGTCGACTGACACTTGGAACCAGGCATGGAGGTCGAATGACAGGGTAGGCTGTTTGCTCTGTTGCGCGCTAGGCTCCTAACCACTCGCTTTCACTTGAGCCACAGTCAAAAACCCAAGTAGATGGAGGTAAGTAAGGGACAATCCCAGTCGTTGATAGGTGCGGCCGCCTTTTGAATTCTGCTCATTGGTTTGGGTGCACAATTTCAATACCAGGTTTTGATTGTGAGGCAACACACCGACATGGCCAGGCAGTGGAGATGTTCCGCGTCCGCCGCGCAGACGGCCAGATCGAGTTTGTGGACCACGAGGACTTCTACAACGGCCCCTCCGCCGCCAAGCCCTTGCACGTGGTGGCGGTCTTTGGGACGACCTCCGGCGGCAAGTCCACGGCTTGCCGCTTCCTCTCGTGCTCCATGCAGATGCCCACGCAGTTCCCCAGCTCCACCATCGGCCCGGACCATGAGCCCACGCGGGGCCTGTGGGGCTCGCGCATGGTGGACATGGACGGCGCGGAGGTGGTGGTGCTGGACATTGAGGGCTTCGACAACAGCGAGCAGGACCAAAAGGTCTCCGAGGCCGAATGAAGACTGGACATTTTCCATGTTCGCAAGCTGGGGTAAGACTAGAGAGGGTGTTTCTCAAAAGGAATTCTGTATTTTCGTGTTTTGTGGATGGAAGACCATTGGTGTTGCTCCAAGCATCGGAATCGGTCCTCTGTTTTTTCCCCTTAGATGCCGAAAAAGAAAGCGGGTCCATGTTGAAGAACTCAAAGGTGGGGGGCCTCCCAGCCACGCGCCACGCCAGGCCGTTCTGAAGCTCCTGGCGCTGCTGTCGGAGGTCACCTCGGTCTTTGTGCAGGTGAGGCGCACGCCCACCATCCAGGCGTCGGACCTGGAGTACATCGCCACCTTCGTGTCCCAGGTGAGGACCACGCTTCTCAAGAGGCCGGGGCCAAGTCTTGCCGCGACTGGTCGGCTTTTTTTGGGTTCAAACGCGGCTGGTTGGGTAATATCATGTGGCTTTACAAGTCTTTTTTTTGCGATGGAGGCCGGAGAGATCGTCTTGTGTCCTTTTTTAAAATAGCAGATGTCGAACGTCGAACCACAATTCCTTGAGCGGAATGGGGCTGCTTGGCATCTTGCACCCGGCTTCGTTACCATTGAAGAGGGTGAGGGATTTCATTGAACTCCAGCAGACCCCAAGTTGAGCTTGTGGATTGTTTTATCCACGTGCAAAGTTTTGCTTGAAAGTTCCGCCAGCGATAGGTCCTTCACTGCCAACGGTGAGGCTGGACCGACGGATAACTTCCCGGCTCTTCTCATTGCGCATGTGCTGCCCCTGCGCATGGAAGCATCCGTGGTGGCGGAGAAATCCTTCGAGATGACCAAGCAGGCCCTCACAGCCCAACCTGCCGTGATCAAGACGATCAATGAGAACTATGTGGAGCTGTTCCGAAGGGAGGATGTGGGTGTCCACTTTGACTATTTGCCTTTGTACCAGCTGCCGATGTACCGAAAGTTGCAGAACATGATCGACACATCCACCACCCCAGGGGAGTTGCGGAGAAATGTCCAGGGCTTGATTGACATGAACGAGGATGAGGCTTCGCCTTTGCACAAGGCTGGGCAGGTTTACTTAGATGACATCGACGCCTTGCGGGATAAGATTCTGGCGATGAGTCGGGTGCGGACGGATGGCCAGGATCGCACCGTCACGCCGAAGACTTTCCGGCAGCTGTTGAAATGGGGCGTTCATGAAATGAACAAGGTAGGGCCGCTGAGCAACGTTCACTTGTGGGAGAAGATTGCCATTGATGCATGTACTAAACAGTTGCAAGAGACGATCACCAAGCTGGAGCTTTCCTTGAAACATGAAGCTGATGAAGGAGACGATTTGTTTGCTGCACTGGATGCGGCTGAAAGAAATCTGGAAAGTTTCTTTCAGTCTCTTAATCTCAAGAAAGATGGAGAGGTCTATGCAGCCTGTTCCAAGGTGCGAGCAAGCACATGGGCACTGGATCCTTAGAGAAGCTTAGCCTTCCTTTTAAGTGAGTGCCTTGGGCAGTGTTTCCATGCAACGAGGTAATTGCTTGCGTGAGACTCTGTTGACAGGCTTCGGGGCCGTACACAAAGAAGGCAATGCTCAAGGAAAGGGAACAGCTTCGCAGGGAGGCACAAGAAAGAGAGAAGAAGCTGCAACAGGAGGCTGATTGCATAGCGCCAAGACATGTGTCAATTGCGCTGAGCTCAGAAGTGCGGCCTTGTGCAGGTTGAGGCTGCTAGGCAGAAAACTCTCGAAGAGAAGCACGAGAGGCCTGTGGCTTGCCACCATTTGTTCGACTATTCAGATGCCGCATTGCCAGGTGGAAGGACTACCTGCAGCAAAACTTTCCATGGGTGGCACTGATGTTTGCCTCGGCGGCGGTGATTGTTCACAAGCTACTTGACTTCGACCAGCCATGCCCGGCATCGCTTTCCGGCAGCGTTTTTGGTTTGAGGTTCAGCACAGCTCTCGCCAGCTGCTTCGACTGCTTTCGGCGGGACCCATCCCGTGGCCAAGATGTGGAGCTGGCGAGGCCTGGGAAAAGGTTCGAAAAGAAGCGGGTCGCAGCTTGCAGCACACATCCGGTTTTGCGGCCCATTTGATAATATATGGCTGTGAATTCGTAGAAGGAACACACTCAGACATGCTTGCTGGACATAACCCCCTATGTATTTCTGATGCCCACCGGCAGCCAAACAGGTGTGTTGTTTGGTGTGTGTGTGTGTGTGTTGTTTTTTCTGCGAGGGGGGGGTGTACTCCCTTTTGGGGTGGTCAAAAGGGAAGCCAAAAGGACCACCATTGTTTTTTGGCCCAACTTATTTTGAGACACGCATCGGCTAGGATGCGTCGCTTAGAGCTGGAGCTGATGGAGACTCGGGCCCAGATGGGACCGTGGCCAGGCGTGGTCTGTTTTCATGGGACACCGCGAGGAAAAACCACCCACTTGAGGGCATGTCGGGGTTCCACACTCCCATGAGTCATTTTTTGTCTAAAGGGGATGGCAAGACGGTGGATGGAGGTTGGCGGGGTGCCAGCAAATACGCTGCGGCGGTGCCCTAAATTCGCTACGCAGGTTTGGGTATGGATGCAATCGGGTTGGATTCCTTTGTCAGGCCAGGAAGCCGCAAGAAGATGAATTGCTGCACAGCTGGTGTCTAGAGCTGGTCGGCGAGGACAAGGTCAAGCTCAGTCGAGCTCCAGTCTGGCCCAGACTGCATTCAACTGAGCGCCGAAGAAGAGCTCGCAGAGGCGCTTGTACATTACAGCGACCAAATGCCGTCAAACGAAACACGCTTGCACGAGACATGGCAACATGCCGTGGATAAGCAGGAATGCCACAATTGCTCAACGTTGCAGAGACGCTGCAGAGAAAAAAAACAAAAAAACTCACCACAGTGCTGACAAGCAATTGCCCCGCGGCCGTTTTCGCGCGTTGATTTTTTGTTTGCGTCGACAGGCCTCCAAAGCGGGGCATCAAAGCTTAGAGAACGTCGCCGCCTGAGACGAGTCTCAGGAGCTGCCAACGCTCGGCTGGTTCGAGGTGTGTTCCGGCTCCTCAGCGAGTCGGATGGCCCAGAGGCCGTCGCAGAACTCGAGGCGCACAGATGGAAAGCACCCAAAAAGTGAATTTAGCTTTGAAAACACCAAAAGGAAGTGTACCGTCCCAAACACGGCACGCCCATTTGTATGTGGAGAAATTTGCCAGGAAGTATGGCGCCATGGAACGGAGACGATGCGTCAGGCAGCAGCCTCAAGTTAAATAGTTTGGTGTGTCACGATGCCAATCTTGACTCTTTCGTCGATGCGCTCTCAAGCTACAGACACTGAAGATTGAGCGGATTTCTGATACAAGGTACATCGCTGCAATCTAGCATCCCTGGAAATCTTTGGTTGCGCTGACTTTTGGATGGTATGTTATCACCACACCACTCTTTTGGCATTTTTAGGTCGGGCTTTATTTTTGGCTTCAGAATGTCTATGGTTTACAGCACTTTGAAACCGTGATACCCACACATGCAAGCTGCTTGACATCAGACCAACATAGCGAAGGCATGCGCAGTGAGCACCTTAAACAGCATGGAAAGCTGGTTCGGAGTTTTCTGCGGATCTCATGGATGAGTCTGATGAGAGCGCAGCTTGCAATCCTCGCAAGCGCGCAAGGACAGTTTGCAGTCGACAGTCTGCAGTGAGAGACTCTTTGTGCCACAGGACCGAGGGCAAGCCGGTTGCCGCTGTGAGGCGACCACTTGAGCAAACTCTCATGCTCGACCTGGAACTTCCGTTCCGGCAGGTTGCCTTGTCAAGCAAGAGATGAAGGCACAGTTTGCTGCAGTGTGGCCAAATTGAGCTGGGTTTGCCTGACGAATTGATTGTCACCACTTGGATGTGCTGGAACAGGCTTGGCCTGCTTCACGAGGGATGACTTAGATGATCTGGATTTCACCTGGACCATCATTGACGATCGAGTGGTGGATGCTCAGCTAATTTGGTTGTTGTTGTGCTTGTGCTTTGCAGCTGAGCTGGCAACATGTGGTCATGGGTCAAGACCCCGTACCCCCAGTGATCCCCACTCAAATAGACAAAAAGGGAGGTGCACCTACCCCAAAATGGTACCATTGGTTTTGACCCACAGCCATGTGTTTTTTTGTTTTGTTTTGCGAGATCTGAGGCACTGGATGCATTTATGCCTTCCCACCCGGGCGGCTCGCTAATTCAGCGAGCTGCTGGCTTGGATGCAAGCGACCTCTTCCACGCCCACCACGCTTCTCCCGCCGCAGCCGCTGTCTTGGAGAAGATCGTCGTTGGCTTTCTGAAGCCCTCGAGGCCAAAGGCAGGGGCAAAAACGCAAACTGTGGCCTTCTTGCAAGTTGCCACGATACTTCCAGGAACATCGCTGGCGAGCTGAACTCAACAAGAGGATGGAACGCCTCATGAAGACCCCGGACACTCCTTTGTCCGAGGCAGGTGCGCAGGGACTGCATGCTTGAACTTTTGGGGCTCCCTTGCCTCAAGGATGGTTGCCATTTCAAGGAGAACTACAAGGAAAGCAAGGGTTCCCATATTTGGTTTGTCTTTTTTTGAAGGTACCCTTTCGAGGGTTGTTTTTGAAAAGAAACACAGGACAACCCATCTGTTTGGGGGGTTCAGCCTAAAAGAGTCATTTGCTTCGATATGACAGGCCGTGGCTGTGACAATGCTGGGCCTCTTCGCTTTGTGGGCCTACTTTGTTTACGTACAAGGTGCGGCCAACGGGACAGCATTGATACTGACAAAGTGGGACGCGTGTTTTGCATCCTCCAGTAAAGGATGCTCTAGATGGCACACATTTTGTTTGCACCAACAGGGTTTCCAAGTCTGGGGTTCCCATCATATCCGCATTTCAGAAGTGCAGAAATTAACAACTTGGGCTGTGAGGCTACTTCTGGCTCAATGTTCTCACCGGCTGGTTTTGGTGGAGACACTTAGATGCCGGATTGCACAGTGACGCTGGGTTGCATGGAGCTGCACGGACTCGCATGGAACTACGCGGAGCCCTTTTATCTGGTAGGGAACTGAGCTTAGGCTGTTCACGGAGACTTCAAGTGGTCGCCAAGATGCCAGAAATGGCTGCTGACAGCCTACGCAGTGCTGTGCCATCACATGCTGGACCACTATGGAGGACCGATGGTGCTATCCTGTGAGACGCACGTGCACTAGGATTCGCATAACACGAGACAAACAACTGATTGGTCTGTCTGAATAGCGAGCCCTGAGGCAATCAGTCAGGCCTGTCGCAGCATTTCGAGCACCATCTTCATACAAATGACTTCCGCAACGACCCAGATTGGACAGTCTTTGCGGTTGGGCGGAACTGGATACGCCGGCATGGCTGCAATCCCTGGCAACCCTACAACGCATGGCAGGCCTGGCAATGTTGTTCCAGACTTGCTGGTGTTCAGTAGGGAATGACCCAGGGTGTTGGGAATGAACCTAGGGATTTCCTTAAAGGAAGCCAGAGAGGATGGTTGAGAGGGGTCATTCATTCCCTGCTGATGCTCTCGAAAGGTCTTCTACTGGCTTCCTGTGCGTTGCGTGCTCGAGCCGGTGACTGTGCCCATGGCAAAAATCAAGGCTTTTTGGGGGATGACTTTGAGTGTGTTCTTTTTGTCTTTAATTGTACCCTTGTCACCTTGGTTTCAACAAATTCCAAGAGGGAAATCACGGTTCCGCAGTTTAAATCCCGTTTTTGTCCCCTTCCCCTTTGGACTTAGGAGATCTTCACGATGCTGGCGACTTGCATGAACGGAGCCGCGCAGGTGGATGCGGTTTTGCAGGGGTGGAGGGCACACTTTTGGAGTTGGCACCCTTTTTACCTTCGCAAGGGGAAGCCCTTAAGGGGAAACCAAAAGGAACCCCTTTTCGTGTTTAGGGTTGCCCCTCCCATCTTGACGCATACGTCATTTCTCCGAAAAGGCAACCATCCAGTGGCCAGAAGCTTGGTTTCCCCGCAACCACCGCTGCCAAAAGGGGGCGCTGTTCTGACCCGCAGACCTCGCAGCGCAGGTTTTGGAGCCCCCCGCCAGCTGGGAGAAGCTGGTGGCCAGGGTCCGGGACGTGGCGTCCTGGTGGACGGAGGCGCGTTTGCCTCGTGGAGGGGTCTGGCGGTTTCCGAGGGTGCCGTTTTTGGGAGGCAAAAGGGAAACTAACGTGAGAACCACTGTGGTTTCCTTTGTTTCCATTCTACACCATCCATTTGAATTCCCTATTTTGAGAGAGACCCAGTTGTCAAGTCAGGTTCTCCTGAGCCCGGGCTACCAGGGAGCAGCCTTTCTCTTCCAGCGGGCTTCTCAGAGGATCGAGCAAGCTCGTGTTGCCTGTTTGGCCTTGTGATACAAGGCCGGCCTGGACAGCAGCAAGCGCATTGCTGCTGAGCAGAGTTTTGGCAAAGTTCGTGCTCATTCCTTTCGCCGAGGCGATGAGCAGTGTGCGTTTCAGAATAAAGCCGACTGCGCCAGGTTCAGCATTTTCTTATGCCACTGCCTGAGTACTGGATTCTGGAGAAACCTGTGTTTTGGAAGGAAGTGTTACAGAAAAGACGCAGGCCGGATGAGGGTTGCAAGGATGAGGTCCGTGCGGTGAGTGCGCTAGACTTCTTTGTGCATAATTCCTGACAGGAGTTTGTGGTGAGACAGCTCAGCACAACTGCCAACCTGCGACTCAACAATCCAGTCACTCGCTTGCTGGACTTCCTGATGCATCGGCCTTATTGTTGACTTCAGCGACTTGCTGCATGGATCGATCCACCATGTTGAGGTTTCATGGCGACAGCTTCCAGGACGGCATGGAGCCATGCTAACAGTGCAAGAACTGGAGGATATGTGCTCGGCACAGCGAAACCGCCCGTTAGGTGGAGCACCACCTGTGGCCCGCCATGAGCTTCGTGCACTTGCAGGAAGCCTCCCAGGTGTTGCAGCAAGCGTGCAGGGAGCTCCTTGGTAGAGGAGAGGCTTACCACGTTCTTGACTGGTTTCTTGCCATGGAGAGAGGCTGGATCTGCCTTATCACGAGATTGGCTACTGGGAGGCTCATCGCAAGGCCGCGCATCGACTTGTGGTGGCTCAGTAGTCTTCCACTTGTCAGGTCTGGCAGCAGGTGAAGGAGCATGCAGAGCAGCCGGAGTGATGCAAAACCATCCCATGTACATACAAAATTGACCCAGAGCCTGATGCTAATGAGAAAATTTGCCCTGGTCAACCAAAAGCACCGCGGAAGTGCCTTGCGCATTCTTTGCAAGCTTTCCGCCTGCGCCGAGATCCTCATGGAAGAGCTACGATACCTCGCAAAGACCGAGGTCGGCACCGTTTCGAAGTCAGGGGCGGGCTTTGCTGTCCCGAGTGGCCAACTTCATGATCCCTCCCCTCTCCCTTCACCCTCCTTCTCCATCCGACAGCTAGCTGCCTCAGCTGCCTCAGCCGCCTCAGCTGCAGGCGGGCGTGCCGCGCCGCGCCGCGGAGCTGCGGAAGGCGGAGGCGGTGCACGGGGAGCTGAAGGACCGGGACGACGCCTTCCGCGCGGCGGCGCGGACGCTGGGCCCGGTGCTCACCTCCCGGGACCTGGCCGCCGTGACGCTGAAGCGCGCCGAGGAACAGGCCAGCCAGCCGTTGAGGTCTCTTGGCTCCAGGGTTCCTTAGCCCCCTCTTGGGCTTTGCAGGGAAGCCAAAGGGACAACCGTTTTGTTTGGGGGAGGTTCTGCATCTCATTCGGAGTGAAAACTGGCAAACTCGAAAGAGCTGCTCCGGGGATTGAGTGTAATTAAGAGAGGGATGATGGGGCTTGTTTTTGTGCCTGGAATGAGCGAGCAACTTGGACAGGAAGAGAATGTGGCTCAGCCGCCAGCCGCTCAGCTCTTGAGGGATGCACGACACTCCTCCTGTTGTGAGGTCGGGCAAGAGCGCAATAGTGAAGCACAGCGGCTATTTGGCGCAGGTCACGTCGCGATTCGCGGCGTCCATTCTAGCTTCCCGGTGGATGTTGAGAGGCCGCAGAAGCACTTCGCGAAAGACGACCGCTGCCAAATGTACCAGTGCCCCCGACTTTCAAGCTTCAATCAAGAACATACTCATCACAGGTGGATCACAACAATACGCGACAAAAAGCAGACATGCCAGAAGTTTTGGCACGGCATTTTGGCAGCCACCAAAAGCAAGCTGTGCAACTTTTGTTGCAACCCAAACCCAACGGAGGCCGTCAAACCCTCCGGATGTTTGCAGCTTGGCAGGTACCGTGGCCTCGTTCAGAGGTTATGAGCTGTCTTGAAGCCTTGGTGAATGCTGAGTGCTCGGGACATGAGCTCGCTCATTTTCATGTGGGTGTGTCGTTTTTGCAGAGGCCTGGTACCCGCTCCGAATTGAGCTGCACGATGCCCTGCATGGGACGCAGGTGGTGAATTTTGGGAGGGACACGAGCTTCCCATTTGAGAAATCACACCCCAGGCGAAGAGTTGGTAAGGGACAGTCAGATGAAACTAGTTTTTCATAGTGATAATGCTTTGGGGTGAACCTTGCAAGTGCCCCTATCCGAAACACCACTCATGCGTCAGGTGTTTCAGCGGGAGAGACGGCACAAACACAAGAAGAGGAGGAAGGAGGCCGTGCTTCACTTCGTTGTCTTTTCGGATGCCTGACTTGGTAGGTCCAGGTGGATGACCTCACGGTGCGGCTGGTTTACCTCCCTGGCTGTCAGGCTTGGCATGGCTTCAACTTGCTTTGAGGCCAAAAGGCGTAGCTTGAGAAGTCAGCGGTAGCCGGTCCTGTCACACAAATCAGGAGCTGCACAGCATCGCCGGGCAAAACTGCACGAAAGAGCAGGCTCAGGTCGCGCATGCATGCTGCATCAAAGTGTGAACTTCTCAGCAATCTCAAGATGGTGGTACGTTAAATGGTAACTTCGCTTTGAATATCAACCAAGGGAGGGTCCACCATTGCCGTGGCCGGTCCTGTCGTTTGAATTTGCAGGCCCTGCGGGCGCCACGGGAAGAGCTGCTGCAACAATGCCGCGAGGAATCTCTTGGGGACGCAGGGAAGGGACCGGGCGTGGTTTTTGTTGTGCCCGCATCTCAGCATGACGTGACGAAAGTTTGAAGCTGGCTCCGGCAATGTGCAGCATCAAGCGGGGTAGGGTGGAGGGTGGACGCGATTGTTGGCATGATGATGCCAAGAATCTTTTCCAAGAAGAAGATGATCAGCAAGTTCTCCAAGCGGAGGGCGGAGAGCCAAGTTTCCAGCTCCGATACCCAAAACCCTATGCATCGATGCACGTCGAAGGCGAAAGGTGCCCAGGAACAGCAAGGGCTTTTGCCGCCATCGAGCATCACCACAGGTCAAATCGAAGCAAAGGACTTACTGCAGGATGTCATTTGCAGCCCAGATTTGCTACCCAAAAAAATTGATCAAGTGGAGCCCTGGTGTCTTCCCATTCTGCGAACTGAAGCGCTGCTGCGCTTGAGCGAGCAATACATTGCAGCAACCGCAAAGTACTACGACGCTGGCTCTGCGCCTCCCGCATTCTTGGATGAAGAAGTGGAGACCAAGGCCCTGCAGCTTCACGGTTTGACAAAGGGTGATGCGGTGCAATACCGAAAAGCGGCAAGCTCTTTGGATGTTGAAGATCGTGCAGACATCTTCTTCCTGCGAGCAAACGACAAGCTTTTCCGCCCCGATGTGCAGCTTCAGGGGAAGCAGCTGAGTGGACTTGTGCACCGGGTGGATTGCTCGCCTTGCGGTGCTCAGCATAACCTTGGAGACCTGCTTGCTGACTTGCCTCGAGCGCTTCTTGTTGCATCTACCTCGTCCTGACCTCCCTTTCTTGCGAAGCTGAAGGAAGGATCTTTGCTTCGCACGCTGGACTCGTGCCGCCCGTGCACCGTGGTGTTTCTGTATTTGTGCGAGGCTCACGCTGCCGATTCATGGCCCTTGAGCACCCAGGCGCCGAGGAACCACACATGCCTGGCCGAGCGGCTGGCAGCAGCACAAGGCCAGGGGCTTCCATCGTTTCAAGGGACACCACCGGAAAAAAAATGGTATTTTCTCCAATTTACGGACTGCAAGTGGCTGGTTTTGCTTTGGCTTCCCTAAGCCAAAATGGGTCCCGGTCTCCCCCATATTGAGACCCCCCCGGATCGCCAGGGGCGACACCTTGCCCCTGAAGGCTTTCTGCGGGCCTGGCCAGGTTTCGCCGAGACGCTGGGCTTAGTGCTGGTTGACGGCATGGACGACGCTCTCGCCGTTTCCTGGGGTCTGTGGCCAGAAAAGTTCCTGCTTCTGGAACATGGCGTGGTGAAGTGGGCAAGCTCCTTCAAGGATGTGGGTGACATGCAGGAGCTGCAGGAGCTAGAAGCGGCAGCCGAGCAGCTGTCCAAAGAGTAGACAGCACCCCAAAGAGTAGACCCACTTTGAACCCCGCTTCGCCTAGAGTCTAGCCTTACATTCTGCTTGCCGAAGCTTTGCTGAGGCACGGTTGATGGGGCCCGGATTGGTGACAAGCTTCACCTGGGTTCCCGGAATGTGCCCTGCACTCATGGCTGCGAGGCTGCGAAGAAATTGTACAGTTGAGGCAATGCGGAGAAAACATTGACCGTGCTTCAGAGGACTTTCAATCCCTTGTGATGACTCAATCCCTTGTGATGACTCAATGTGATGACTTCCGGAGGAGTTTGCCCCTCTAGAAGCAATTCATGGCGGCAGCAGCAGATATTCGCGAGCTGAGGACTGAGAACTGAGGGCAAGCATCGTTACGCTTTTGCAATTGACACGGGTGTGTTGGGGTTTGACACGGGTGTGTTGGCTTTGGTTTAAAGGGAATTCAAAAAGAAAACCAGGGATTCCCCCTATTTTGACACATACCCCTATGTGGTTGCAGCTGGTTGGCTCGAGCACCGGCTGTTTCAGAGCATGGGCGCTTGAGTGGAATCCTAGATGAAGGTTTTCTTGTGCGACTCAGCTGCAGACTGGACATCCGCAGGCAATGTTCATGCTTGTGCGCACTCGCTGCTGGCCCCATTATTTTACCATGATCAAAGTCCACCCCTCCCCCCCCCAGTGGCAGGGTAAAGGGGGGAGCACATTTTGACTTCGCTAGCCCCCAGAAACAGTCAAACTCATGACCCCTTGCGAATGGTCAGGCGCGCTTTTCGCGGCAGCTTCGGAAGCTTGGCCTTGGAGCGCTTTCGGGTTTGGGGTTTTGGGCACCTAGACCGGGCCATCAGGTTGCCTGGCTTCTGCTTTGACCTCATGCGATACCTAAGCTCGGGTGTGGGCAAACAAGCTTTGGAGTTGTGGACCGCTAAGCAAGTGTTGATAGGAAGAGGCCAACCACACAGAGCGTCAAAGCCTTTGACAGGAGACGTGTTGTGTATGCAGGCTTGGAGGTTCAGAAAAAGATGAAAAGGGCTAGTGAAGGGGCAGGTGCGAGCAAGGTTAAAGAGGGAGACCAGAGTGCAGGAGGATGGGAGGCGGAGCTTTGAAAAGTGAGGCAAGCATGAACACAAGACCAAGGGCCAGAGTCAGCGGGAGAGAGGGGATGAGTGGGTGGTGAGAGGGTGGTCGAGAGGTTTGAGATGGCGAGAGTGAGAGGCGTCGGCGCTGTGTCCATGAGTGAAGCCATGTTGCCGGAGAGCTGCCTAGGTGAGAAGCGTGCTCGCGAACTCACAATACTTGGCTAAGCTCTGTGCTGGGGAGACTTGCGACAAATCATCGCATCCGATCCTCGACTTTGACCAGGACATAATTTTGAGAGCTTTGATGCAGGTATCAGTGATATGAGCTATACGGCACAAGTTGCCTGGACAGGACAAGCGCCAATGCGTGTGCTCAACACACCCTTGCTGGGATGACGATGGCCAGGTGCACAGCTGCAGCTTGTCTGAAGCTGGGAGACTGTTTCATTTGGGCATGTCTCAACACGGGGGGACTCCCAGAATGGTTTTCCGGTTGGTCTCCTTTTAAACCAACCCTACAAAAGGGTACCCTCACAGAAACACGTACCCCTCGAACCTCCTGAGGTCGAGGCAAGCACGGGTTTCCTTATTTGGCTTTCTATTATGACGAGAATAAGAAGCTCCATTGCGAGTGCAGCAGCTATCAACACTATGGATCCGTTCACGTTGCGCGAGATCTTTGTCCCGGTCACAAATGCATAGAGCCCGACCACCCTGTGCTTGATTATGATGAAGACCAAGATGAATGCTTGTGCAGATCTCATCCTTGCTGGGACGACAACGGCAGGAGACATCATTGTGATAAACCAGATTTCCCCGTCCTCAAGTATCGAACCGAGCAGGCGCGCTTTTGCATAGCAAGGACATGCGACAAATCTTGGACTTTTTCAACCATGCATGTGGTGCACTTCTCTTTGACTCCTTCGTGCCTTGGAGAGCAGGTGAAGGGCCGCTTCAAGCCCATTTGCGAATGCTCTATATCCATGGAGAAAGATCAATCTCTTCCCCTCTTCAACTATGACAAGCCTGGTGCAGATCCGGATGAGGCAGATTTCGAGGACGAGGACGCGGAGGAGTTTTGAGAGGCAAAGACCCAAGGACCAACGCAAACGGCTGCTTTAATCAGCATCAAAAATGCACACTCACTTTACATGCCTTCTCCTGCCATATCCTGAATGGTTAAACAAAAACAAATGC